AATCCTTTCTGATGAAGGGTCTAGGCCCGAAACGTCAGCCTTTCTGCTCCTATGATGCTGCTTGGCCTGCTGTGTTCATCCAGCTCTGCACCTTGCTGTCTCTTATTTTACACAGTGTGTTGTGACCTGCAGAGCACTGCCCAGAAGAGTGGTGGAAGCAGATTCACTAATAACATTCAAAAGGGAATTTGTTAGGCACTTGAACAGAAAAAAATCAAGGATGTGGGCAAACAGCAGGCAAGTGAGATGAATTAAATAGCTCTACCAAATTTTGTAGATATGATGGGCCAAATAGCCTCCCTTTTGTGCTGTATTATTCTATAAACCTGTTGATTTTTGAACAATGGTGTTACTTAGCAGGGTTCAAAATCTGAGATGTGATGATGAATTGATACAAAACTTTAGCAAGATCACTCTTGCAGTACCCTATAGGAAGAACAATCAGGCAAAATACAAAGATAAACTTGGATAAAATGGGGCTTTTTAATTAGAGCTTTGATGTGGAGGGGTGATTTGTTTGAAGTGTTTAAAATTATGAACAATGCAACAGTGTAGATAGTCTGTTGATTAGCAAGGTTTTTCAATTATTTGAATTATTGAACAATACGGAGTTGCAAGAGGTTGTTATTTTCTGCTTCCTTGTTGTTCCAACTTTAGAGTTTGAGGATCTGGGAGCTTCCTCCAAATGGACAGGGAATCACTGCTCTGTTAGCCTTAAACATGCTGGAGAACTTTAACATCAAAGGTAGGAGATCCTTCTGAGAATGACCGAATGAATTCTTATTCATTAACGTGGCCGACAAAGTAAGTAGTTGAGGAGGTCGTAATAAAGAAGGGATGCGGATTTGGAAGAAGTTACTACCTGAGAATGAAGCTGCAGCTCTTGCCTGATGTTGTGGAGACTGGAAGGTGCTAATTTCCACTTCCTTCCCTTTCTGTCAGAGTGTGAGACGTAAAGCTGAGGGCCCCTCTGCCCTGTATTGTTGACATGAAAGAAACTACCGTGCTAGTGTAAGCAAGGGAGGGGGTTTTCCCTGCTGCCCTCTGAACAACGTGTCCAAACCAGATGATCCACTTGCTGATTGCGGGGCCTTGCTGTGTGTAAATTGCTTGCTGTGTTTCAGAAGCAGCTCATTGGCTCTAAACTGAGTTGGGACACCCAGAAAGCGGGAAAGGCAGAATGTAAATGTCAGTTGGCTATTTTGTCGTTGCATTTCTGAGTTTATAACAATATCACCGCCATTATTGCCTTCATCATTGCGGCAGGTTAAGCTGGGTGGCACAAACGTGCAGAATCCTGCCCTGTCGTCGGGTCCCTCTCCCCATGGTTTGCTCTCACCTGTGTAGTTCCAGGAAAATCCGAACATTGATGTCCAGCTGGCGTTCGGAGCCAGAGATTCTAGACATGAAGGTTCTCTTGAGAAGGAGGCAGGAACTAACAAGCAACTTCATTCACTCCATTTCCAGAAATGGACCACAACAGCGCCGATTACATTCATCTGCTGGCTGAGGCAATGAAGCTCAGCTTCGCTGACAGTTTCTGGTTCTGTGCTGATCCTGCCAGGGTCCAGGTGCCTGTGGAAGAGCTGCTTTCTAAATGTTACAGTAAGCAGCGCTCAGAGCTCATCAACATGCAAAGGTGAGGCTGACAGACCAGTCGTTTTCCACTTGGTCTCCCTCAAAGCAAAACAGGAATCTGCCTGTTCAGCAGTTACACTGTTAGAACTCAATTGGTTAGTAAATACTGATATTATCGTTAAGTGACTTTTTGTTCTTTTGTAGATTAGAAGGGAATATTTGTTTGTTCATTAAACAGTTTGCCGATTGCATTGCCTGTGAAGAGAAGGGCTAGTTTATAAAGGAATTGCTGGTGTTCTAGTTCCACAAGTGGTGACATAGAGATAGACACAGAAAACTTATTTTAGAGTTATAGAGTCGTAGAGCTGTGCAGCATGGAAACAGATCCTTCAGTCCAATTCGTCCATGCCGGCCAGATATCCTAAATCACTCTAGCCCTATTTGCCAGCATTTGGCCCATATTCCTCGAAACCCTTCCTATTTGTATACCCATTCAGATACCTTCTAAATATTGTACCAGCCTCCACCACTTCCTTTGGCAGTTCATTCCATACACACACTTCCCTCTGCATGAAAAAGTAGCCAGTTAGGTCCCGTTAAAATCTTTCCCCTCTCACCTTAAATCTACACCCTCTAATTTTGGACTCCCTTACCCTGGCAAAAAGACATTGGCTATTCACCCTCTCCATGCCCCTCATGATTTTATAAACCTCTATAAGGTCACCCCTCAGCCTCCGGACGCTCCAGGGAAAATAACCCCAGCCTATTCAGCCTCTCCCGATAGCTGAAACTCTCCAACCCTGATAACATCCTTGTATTCTTTTCTGAACCATTTCAAGTTTCACAACTTCCTTCCTATAGCAGGGAGACCAGAACTGAACGCAGTATTCCAAAAATGGCCTAACCAATGTCCTGTACAGCCTCAACATGACCTCCCAACTTCTGTATTCAATGCACTGACTAATAAAGGCAAGTATACTAAATGCCTTCTTCACTATGCTATCGACCTGTGACTCTACTTTCAAGGAACTGTGAAACTGCACTCCAAGGTCTACCACTGTTAATCCATGAGCAGTTTTCCAGATTGAATAGTTTGGGGTAAGACCTTGAGGTGTGGATCTGGCAAGTTAACAATCTCCCAATGTATAGCTTGCCTTCTTTTGGAATATACTTGACTGAGGGCTGAAAACGGTCCCTGAAGATCATCACATGGAAATTCAGAAACTCTGCAACATCACCCTCTCTCCAATGACAAACATTTAACCCTACTCTGCTGACAGGTCTCAGCCTCACGTTATGCATTAAAATAAAAGCAACATGCTGCAAATGCTGGAGATCTGAAATACAAACAGAAAGTGCTGAAGAAACTCAGTAGATTTCTCTCTGAAGAAAGAAATCAAGTTAATGGTTTGAGTCTAATATGACTCTTCCTTGGAACCGGATGCAAACTATACCTGGTATATATTGTTGAGGTTTACAGTTGCTTATCAACGGACTGTCTACACTGTTGCATCCCTTCATAATTTTAAACACGTGAAACAACCACATCTAAGTTCTCATTAAAAGGCCCCATTTTTATCCAGGCCTCTCTTTGCATTTTCTAGTTCAGATGAAAGGTCACTGAATTCGAAATGTTGTCTCTGCTTTTTCTCCACAAATGCTGCCAGACCTGCTGAGTTTCTATAGCAATTTCTGTTTCTGCTTTGCATTTACTCTGTTGCCTGACTGTTCTTCCTATCATGTGTTGCAAGAGTAATCTTGCTAAAATTTAGTTTCAATTCATCATCACATCTCAGTTTTTATGATCTATCCCTCTTGAAATGAATGAAAGCTTTTTGCTGTATTTTATTGTATTCTTACCATAAAATACACATGACAATAAAATTAAAATTAAAAAATCTCTTGTGAGAAAAACCCATATAGATAAGTCCACATTTCCACAGGCAACTTGTTTGTCAAGTTGTTCGTCACCCCCTCAAAAACATGATAAGATTAGTCAGGTACAACCTACCTATCACAACTCAGGTTAAATCACTTTGATCATTCAATAATTCTCAGACACTTTGTCTCCATCAGACAATAAGTTTTAGTCGAAACAAACGTATGTAATAGAAGCAGGAATAGCAATTTTTGTGGCCTCACCCACTTGCGATACCGCTTTGAACATCTCAGCATAAATGGTGTGACATTGTGATGGCTGACTATGAGCTCTATGTATTCTGGCCTGTGAGAAATTTGGTGCCTTTTGAGTGGAAATTACAAGTGCTTCTCCATTACTTAAGTTGAAAGGGATAGAGGAACAGGAAACTTACAGAGCCACCAATTCAATATTAGCCAGAGGGAGTCGAAGGTTATTGGGATGAGCAGGATTGTGAATTTGAGGCGTTAGTCAATGATCTAATTTTTGCTTGTGGGTGGGAGTGGTCCTATTACAGAATTATGGATCTGGAATAGAGAAGCCAGTTGAGTCATTTTCTAAGAAATTAAGTTACCAAACCTCCCAATAGCCAATGGGAAATAGAGAAAAGATATGTAAGCAGATCATGCGAAGATGCAAAATCAACAGGATACATGTACTAGGTGATTTTAACTCTCCCAATATTGTCTGGGACTCCCTTAGTCCAAGGGGCATAGGTGGGGCAGAAATTGGCAGGTGCTTCCAGGAGGGTTTTTTTTTCTATTCATTAACCCAATGAGGACATCACTGGCTAGGCAGCATTTATTGTCCATTCCTAATTGCCCAGAGGGCTGTTCAGAGTCAACCACATTGATGTGGGCCTGGAGTCACATATAGGCCAGACCAGGTAAGGGTGGCAATTTCTTTCCCTGAAGGGCATTAGTGAACCAGATGAATTTTTTTATGACAATCAGCAATGGATTCACGGTCATCATTAGACTCTTAATTCCAGATATTTTTATTGAATTCAGATTCTACCATCTGCCATGGTGGGATTTGAAACTGGGTCCCTGGAACATTATCTGGGTTTCTGGATTAACAGTCCAGCGATAATACCACTAGGCCATTGCCTCCCCCTAAAAACAACATGTAGACAGTTCAGCTAGGGAAGGGGCTGTACCTGACCTTGTACTGGGGAATGGGCCTGGCCAGGTCATTAAAATTTCAACGGGGGAACATTTTGGGAACAGTGATCAGAATTCCGCAAGTTTTAAAAACTGAAAGAACTGCGGATGCTGTAAATCAGGAACAAAAACAAAGTTGCTGGAAAAGCTCAGCAGGTCTGGCAGCATCTGTTGTGGTCCGTAAGTTTTAAGATAGTTATGTATAGACTGGTCGTTGGGTGATAGCGCTAAACTTAAGGAAGGCTAATTCAACAGTATTAGGCAGGAACTGGAGAAATTAGATTGGGAGCAACAGTTTAAGGGTAGATGCACGTCTGACATGTGGGAACCATTTAAAGGCCAATTGATCAGACGTCGGGACTAGCATGTTGCTGTGAGGATGAAAGATTAGGATAGCAATCTGGAACCCTGGATGACAGAAGACTTTGAAAGTTCAGTCAAAAAGAAAAAGGCATATGTAAGGTTTAGGAAAGGGAAAGCAGATAATATAAAAACAATCTAAAAGCAGTAGAAAAGGACTTAAACAGGGAGTAAGAGGTCTGAAGGGGGCCTTGAAATGTCATTGGCAAGTAGAATTAAGCAAAATCCCAAGGCATTTTAGATGTATATTAAGAGGATAGCTAGGGAAACAGTAGCACCACTCAAGGACAAATGAGGGAATTTATGCGTGGAGACAGAGGAAGTTGGTGCGGTCCTTAATGAGTACTTTGCATCGGTATTCACCAAGGGGAAGGGCATGGATGATAGTAAGTTTAGAGAGGGGTTTGTTGATATTCTGGGGCATGTCAATATTAAGAAGGAAGAGGCGTTGGTTGTCTTGAAAAACATTAAGGTAGATAAGTCCCTGGGGCCTGATGAGATCTATTCCAGGATACTGAGGGAGAAAAGGGAGGAGATTGCTGAGGCCTTGACAGAGATCTTTTTATCTTCTTTAGCTACAGGTAAGGTCCCAGAGACTTGAGAATAGCCAATGTTGTTCCTTTGTTTAAGAAGGCCAACAGGGATAATCCAGGAAATTATAGGCTGGTGAGCCTTACTTCAGTGGTAGGGAAATTATTGGAGAACTTTCTTAGGACGGGATTTATTTGCATTTGAAGAAGAATGGACTTATTAGGGGTAGTCAGCATGGCTTTGTGTTGGGGAGGTCTTGTCTCACAAATTTGATTTGAAGTTTTTGAGGAAGTGGTGAAGGTGATTGATGAGGATAGTGTGGTGGATTGTGTCTGCATGGACTTTACCAAAGCTTTTGACAAGGTTCCTCTAGGTAGGTTGGTCCGAAAGATCAAATTGCATGGAACCCATGTTGGATATAAATGAAGCTTAGTAAATTACACAAATGAGAATAGGACAGGGATGACAGGGAAAGGAATATCACTTTGGAGTCAAGAAAGATAAGTTGGAACAGTTTCTAGGAAACCAACATCTGTGGAGAAGCGAATGGATTTGGGTTACCATTTACACAAATGATTAAAAGATGATAACAGCTACATACAATAATCAAAAAGCGTTGAATTATTCAGGCTGGCTGCGTGAACGTATCTAATATTTCTTTGAATTTAGATGGCTCAGGCAAGATCTAACCAAGGTTTTTAAGACTATGAGATCTGATAGTGGTGATACTGAGAAGTTTTGCTTTTGATGTAATTCAGGACTATGGGGGTGTCATCTTAAAATTTCAATAGATAAGAACATATACAATAAGACTTTTATAGCCTCGTCCACTTGAGATTCTGCCTTTAAAGCTCTAGGGCTAAGCCATAATAGCAGGTCGGCACAATTAATGTGACTCTTAGTGTCATCAGTTAAAACCTCACACAAGCTACTGCTACTTTAGTGGATGATGGTAGACCAGTAATCCAGGCTAATGCTCTGGAAATCCTATCAGGGCAGCTGGTAGAATTTAAATTCAAGTGATAGAACATGAGACTGTTGATGTCAGGGTCATGGGTTTGAGGCTTTGTAGGGTGCTGATGCTTTAGA